CCAATTTTTCCAGAGAGAGCCTCTCGTTGTTCCCCAGTTGCCTGGGCTGTGTACTTATGATCTAGACCAGCAGTCCATCCGAGCCTCTTTTGTACGAGAGGGATCCCCTGCATGCCAAGCCTTGCCGAAACACCGGCGTTTTTTTTTTTTTTTTTTTTTTTTTTAAATTAATTGGGGCTGGCACAGCCAGCCATTTTTTGGAGGGAGGCTCTCCTGGGGCCATGGACAGGTGATCTGAAGCAAAGAGCAAGGTGCAAAGAAGGCATCAGCCACTTCTTTTCTATTCTTTGCTTCCCAGCGTGAAAAGAAAACAGTACGATGGCGCCCAGCAACCGGGAACAGCGAGTAAACCTGGAACAAGGTTGCCAGAGCATGGCCCCGCACTGACTGAGGCCGTGGTCCATAAAAGGCTGGTAGCTGTCAGACGAAANGGAACAGCGAGTAAACCTGGAACAAGGTTGCCAGAGCATGGCCCCGCACTGACTGAGGCCGTGGTCCATAAAAGGCTGGTAGCTGTCAGACGAAAATATTCTGCGCCCACCGCTCCATCTTCACTCGTGTGTTCCCACCGCCATGTGGTGCTCAGAGAAAGGTATGGACATCCTCGCGACATGCGACATCTGCCCCCCACTGCTTTTTGGAAGACTGGCTTCACCTCTGGTGGGAATGTGTCATAGCCAGAGGTGCTCAGAGAAACTTTGGAAGACTTGCCTGAAACTGGTGGGAATGTGTCATAGCCAGAGGTGCTCAGAGAAACTTTGGAAGACTTGCCTGAAACTTGTTCTCCATCGCCTGCACCTCAAGCTCCTTTATCAACATCATATTGTCCTCTCTAGAGACTAAAGTAGGAGGCCTCCAATGGCTCCATCTTCACTCATCTGTTCCCACCGCCATGTGGTGCTCAGAGAAAGGTATGGACATCCCAGCCACATGCGACATCTGTCCCCACGGCTCTTTGGAAGACTGGCCTCACCTCCCGTGGGAATGTTTCATAGCCAGAGGTT